AGAAAGAAAGAAAGAAAGAAAGAAAGAAAGAAAGAAAGAAAGAAAGAAAGAAAGAAAGAAAGAAAGAAAGAAAGAAAGAAAGAAAGAAAGAAAAGTGTCAGCAGGCTTTTCTTTGGGGCTGAGAAACAAAGCAGGTCAGGGCGAGTAGGAGCAACTGGTTTTCTTGGCTTCCTCTAGGCCTCACCTGCTCTGCATCTCACCATGGAACAGACGGCCTGCTGGAAGTTGTCCCCCACCACCACATACAGTAACAGGTTCCCGAAGGTGTTGAGGGCAGCCAGTGGCCGAGAGAAAATGTATGCTTCGTGGATCTGGTTCTCTGTGGCGCAGCTGACTGAGAGCAGGCGTGATTCTATCCGAATGACCCTCAAGATATGGAAGGGTAGGAAACACACATAAAACACTAGCAGAAGCAGGACTGTGAGCCTCCGGGCTTTCTTCTTCAGGCAGCTGTGCGTCCTTGGTCCTTGGTTGAGGGTGTAGATAATCATCACGTAGCAGAGTGTCACTATCACCAAGGGGAAGCAGAATGCCGTCGCTGTCAAAATGAGGTTGTACCATTTGATCGTCGTGAGGTCATCAGAGCTGCTGAGGTCCAAGCACGCAGATCTGTTGGTCCTGGTGGTGGAAGTAATGAGAAACGTCATGGGCATAACGGCCACCAGAGAGACGATCCATACCACCACGCAAGCCACCACCGCCCACCGTGTCTTGTGAACCGAAAAGCAGCTCATCGGGTGAATGATCACAAAGTAGCGGAAGATGCTGAAACAAGTGAGGAAGAGGATACTGCCGTACAGGTTGACGTGGAAGCCGAAGCGGATGAACTTGCACATGAAGTCCCCGAAGACCCAGTTCTCCCCACTGGCATAGTAGTGAATCAGGAAAGGCAGGCTGGTGAGGTACAGCAGGTCCGTGCATGCCAGGTTGAGCATGATGATGGTGCTGCTTCTCCAGGGCCGCATTTTGAGGATGTACGTGGAAATCGCCATTGCATTCCCCGGGAAGCCCACCAGGAAGATGATGCTGTAAATCACTGGGAGATAGTGGCTCTTAAGTGAGAGCTTCTCATCAGTGCAGTTTCCAAGAGCAGCGGCGTAATCGGGGAAATCAGAAGCGTTTGCAAAATGGTCTAGTGGCTCACTCATGGTTGTGTTTTTTTTCCATCTTGCAAGAAAACAAAAGGGTTTGGGTTGGCAGGATTAGACCGAGACAAAACTCACTGAGAAAGGAAAACAGAAAACATTAATGATAGGGCCGTGGAAATAGGGACCTACTTGTAAATGAAAGTTGTCCTGATACCCCAAAGCCGCCACTCTCTTCTCTTTAATCTTGAAAGAGACCCTGGGAGAAGAGATTGGATTTCTAAGAAAATGACCATGAACCCAGGTACTAAACACAGCTAATAATAATATTAACAAAGTTACTGTATCACTTAGACTTAAAATGAAGGATGAGGCTAAAAAGATCATTTCTACATTGGACAGCTTTTCATTGGCCCAACTGTTAAATGTGCTCATGCATGGACAAGAGGCAATGATCTAAGCCTGGAGGTCATGGAGTCCCGGAAGAAGTCAGTTCTCAGTAAGTCAAGAACTTGCTTATCTGGAGCAAAGGTAGAAAGTCTGTTTGAGTACCACTGCAGAATCTTCCAGAATATTTCATTCCAATCGCAATTTGACACAGGAGCAAGAGGGCAGAGCGGGAAGGGAACTTCCCCTCCCTGCCAAGACAAGTGGCCTACTTGTCTGTCCACTCCTTGAAAGCAGAACACAAAATCACCTGACCCCCAGGGCTCACATATAGCCACCCTAAGTAAACATTTGCTGAATAAGTAAGTAAAGGAACAGAGGCCCATCAGCAAAAAAAAAAAAAAAAAAAAAAAAAAAAAAAA